CTCTGTGGCCAGTACCTTGATTTAAGTAATTTTATCTTCTAAAGTTTTAACAAGTTGTAAAAGTTGATCTAACCTTTGCCCTGAGGCATTTAATCAACTGATACACACACAAGTATGTATGTATGTATCTAGGTGTATGTGTGTGTGTGTATACATATATATATATATATTTTTTTCTTTCTTTCTTTCTTTTTTCCTAGCAGTTTTACTCAAAGCCTTTAAACTCTTCAGATTCCGGATCTAAAAGCAGTTGGCTGTTTCAAATTTATAAGATTCTAAATTTTTGGATTATCTTTATTCCCTTTTATCATTCGTTATAAACTGGTCATTTCTTTCCGGAGTTGCTTCTCTCCCTCTCTCTCTCTCTCCCCTCCCAGTACTTTGCCAAACACAACCAGTAGCAACCACGTATATAATAGCAGCACTAACTTTCCTCTGAACTATAAGTTCAATAGGTGAATGGTCTTGCAAGGTAATCACAAGCAAAACCTTTACCAAATGTTTTGCCTTCTTCCCAGCATCTGATATCAGTTTCCTCTCTGTCATCACCTGACTGCTAAGCCAGTCTTTTAATTTTTTTTCAACAGCTTACCACTACTGGCCCCAGTTTTTGTTTTTTTGTTTCCAGTCAGCATAAGTTTTTTTACATTGCAGTAGCAACTTTCCCCTGGAATCTCAGTGGCCTTAATACAATAAAGGTGCGGGTCTGATTGAGTCAGGTGAGTTCCCTGGGCAACTGCCCTGTGTGATGAAGTGGCTCAGTTATTGAAAAGGTTTCTGTCATTGGTTCTGTCATCTCAAGTCATGACCTTCGAAATTGACCAACCAAAGGAAAAGATCACAGGGAAAATTCACACCTGCTTTTCTAAGCTTTGATCCTGAAGTGAGACATATCACTGCTACTCAAAGTCCACTGACCAGGATTGGTTTTACCACTTCACCTAACTAGACAGCACTGGAAGTTACCTCTTTTATCGTCCTCAGCATGTTGAGAGAGCAGAGCTGTGAGATCAAAACAGCCTGGACAGTGGGGCCCCTACAGTGAGGACCCCTGCCCTGGAGAGTGGCCCAACTGCACAGGAATTTACATGAGTGAGAAACAAAATTTTGTTGAAATAATAGCCTGGGACTTGAAAATTTAATTATTCTTGCAACAGTCCATCTTATCCTGATTAATTCAGGAACCAGAAGATAGGAGTGAATAAAGCAATATAGTTTATTTTTCCTGAAGCAATTGTCATTCCAATCAAAATACCGACAGGATTTTTTTGAAGACTGACAAAATGTTATAAAGCTCCAGTGGAATAATAGAGGAGTGAGAATAGCCGATACAACTGTAAATGAAATAATGAGGAAGAACTAGTTTTATCCACTATTAAGATATTTTATAGGTAGAGAAATTATAAGAAATAAGAAAGCTGTTAGTGGAGAATAAAAACCCCAGAAACAGACCCAAATACACTTAAGAACTTAAAGTATTAATATTAATATAAGGCCATGTGCAGTGGCTCAGGCCTGTAATCCCAGCACTTTGGGAGGCTGAGGTGGGTGTATCACTTGAGCTCAAGAGTTTGAGACCAGCCTGAGCAACATTGCAAAACCCTGTCTCTACAAAAAATATAAAAATTAGCTGGGTGTGGTGGTGCATGCCGGTAGTCACAGCTGCTTGAGAGGCTGAAGTGGAAAGATTACTTGAGCCCTGGAGGTCAAGCCTGCAGTAAGCCATGATTGTGCCACTGCACTCCGGCCTGGGTGACAGAGTGAGACTTTGTCTCAAAAAATAAATAGATAAAATAAAATATAAATAAAGTGGTATTTTAAAACTAATGGGAGAATATGAATAATTCAGTAATGTTGTGATGAACATGCCATTGGGGGCAAAAGTGCAGAAGTATCTTATACCCAAATAAATTCTATGTGGATCAATAACTTGAATGTAAAATATGAAACCATAATAATACTAGAAAAATCATTGGTCTTTTTCTCATAATTTTTAACTGGGGAAAAGTGACAAACATAAGGTAAGATTGACAAATTTACTTATATAAAAATTAAAACTTTTTCAAGACAAGAATACCATAAACAAAGTCAAGAGATAAACCACAGGATAGAAAAAAAAAAAATGTCTACAATTTATATAACAGGAAGAGGGTTAATTTCTTTTATATACAAAGCAATTAAAAAATCAGCAACAGAAAACTGAACAATTCAATAGAAAAATAAGTTTGCAACAAAAACAAAACAAATAGCCAATAAACACATAAAAATTTTAGCTATCTAAAAAAATCAAAGAAATGTAAGTTAAAACAAGATATTATTTTTCACTTTGTGTATTTTGCAAAAATACTGTAGCTTGCACCCCCCCACCCAACCCCAATCTATGGTTTTACTTTCTGAGGTTTCAGTTACTCCTGGTCAGCCACAGTCTAGAATTTTCCATTTCATATTTTCAGACTGCAGTTGACCAGGGGTAACTAAAACTTCAGAAAACAAAATATTAAATGGAAAATTCCAGAAACAAACAACTTATAGATTTAAAATTGTGTAGCATGGTATAATCCCATGGATAAAGGAGGACTACTGTAAAATGTTGATCTTACTCAGGAGTGTGGGAAGCAGGACCACTCATGTATTATTAATGGAATGTAAATTGCTACAACTTTTTGGAAAGCAATTTGGCAATAACTATTAAAATTTAACAAGCACATTATCTTAAACTCAGCAATTCTTCTTTCAGGAATTTTTCCCAAGGAAACACTTTCACAAGGAGGCAAAAATATACTGTATAGGAGTAGCATGATACTATTATTTGTAATAGTAAAAAAACAAAAGTGAAATTTAAATGCCCATCAAGAGAGGATTAAATAAACTATAGTGGCTCTGTAAAACGGGGTATTACGTAGCTGTTCCAAAGAATCAATGCATTTCTATGCCTTGATATGAAAAGTATCCAAACTAAACTGTTTTAAGTAGGAAAAAAAAGGTAGAATACAATATCATTATAAGTGAAAATTCCTAGAATCACGTTTATACATATATTTATATACATGTATGTACATACATACAAATTTCTGAGAAAAAAGAAATAATAGCTATGATCATGTTCAGCTATAATTACATAAAATATAGATTTGTAAGTAAGCATGTAGGCATTTACATTTCATACCCATTTGTAAATTTTACAGTTTATGAATGTATTGCTTTATGGTTAAAAACAAGATTTTAAACTATTAATCCTTTCATGCAAATGTTAATTCTCTCTTTCTACCATTCAATATATCTCAAAAAATTTGCACATACAAAAAAAGAAGGACCAAAGTTGTGGACATTCAGAACATGTTATAAATGAGTAAACAAAGTCACCAGTCATAATGAGAGGGGAGCACAATCTTTAGAAAGTCAAGTCCTGTTTCCACAGCAAGGAAAAATTCCGCAGGTTAACTGGTAATAATTCTCTATCAACATTCCAAAAAGAAATTCAGTAATAATAGTAGTAGTAGCTGACATTTACTGAGTAGTGACTAAGTTGGATTCAGCACTCAGCCCTTTTACATGCATCTTTTCTCTTTTTTTTTTTTTTTTTTTGAGGCAGAGTCTTGCTCTGTCACCCAGGTTGGAGTGCAGTGGCACAATCTCGGCTCGTTGCAACCTTAGCCTCCCAGGTTCAAGTGATTCTCCTACCTCAGCCTCCCGAGTAGCTGGGATTACAGGCGCGCACCACCAGGCCTGGCTAATTTTTGTATTTTAGTAGAGACAGGGTTTCACCATGTTGGCCAGACAGGTCTCAAACTCCTGACCTCAAGTGATCCGCCCACCTTGGCCTCCCAAAGTGCTGGGATTACAGGCATGAGCCCCGGCTGGCCAGGAATCTTCTCATTGAGTCCCGCAGACTCCATGTGGCAGGGGCACTATTGCCAGTCCCATTCTACAAACGAGGAAACTAAAGATCAGAGAGTGAAATTAAGAAATCACACAAGAGACTCAGGGCTTGAGTTTCAAAGCACTTGTAATATGCTTCACTGCTGATTCCACCACTTACTATGTGTCCTCAGTCAAGTGGCTCTGCCAGAAGCGTTTGAACCAGAGGGCTCCATCTTGAATAGGGGCTGGGTAAAATAAGGCTGAGAATTACTGGACTGCATTACCAGGAGGTTAAGGCATTCTAAGCCACAGGAAGAGATAGGAGGTCCACACAAGATACACAAGGTCATAAAGACCTTGCTGATAAAACAGGTTGCAGTAAAGAAGCCAGACAAAACCCACCCAAACCAAGAATGACAATGAGAGTGACCTCTGGTCATCCTCACTGCTACACTCCCACCAGGACCATGACAGTTTACAAATGCCATGACAATGTCAGGAAGTTACCATATAGCATCTAAAAAGGGGAGCAACCCTCCGTTCCTGGAACTGCCCACCTCTTTCCCGGAAAACTCATGAATAATCCATCCCTTGTTTAGCATATAATCAAGAAATAACCATAAAAATGGGCAATCAGCATCCCTCAGGGCTGCTCTGCCTACGGAGTAGTCATTCTTTTATTCCTTTACTTTCCTAATAAACTTGCTTTCACTTTGCTCTATGGACACGCCTGGAATTCTTTCTTGCACGAGATCCAACAACTGTCTTGGGTTCTGGACCGAGACCTCTTTCTGGTAACATCTTCACATTCCCCTTCAATAAAATGTGCATAGTGATAGAGCCTGCTTGGCAGGGTTGTCGCAGGGATTCACTGAGAAAACACACGTTGATATGCTTAACTCAGTGCCCATTACATGGTAAGTCCTCAGAAACGTTAAACACTGTTCTTATTTTTGTTGCTGTAACAAGGTTTGTTCGTGATATGGTCTCTACTGAGCTGTCCACATTGTTTCCATGCCACCTCCTGGCCACCTTGCGCTTCCCCTGCAGCTGCCCACCCTCTGTGCCTCTGTTCCTCCCTTCCCGAGAGCATTCCTTCCCGCTTCCCACCCCTTCTGCACCCACTGACTCCTACTTACCTTTAAGACTTGCTTGAACTATCACTTCTTCCAGGAAGCTTTCCTTGACCTCGTGTGAGTTAGGTGCTCCTTCTGTGAGCTGCAGTAGGAGCCTGTGCTTTCCTCTCCTATTGTATTTATCAAACGGCAACACCGTAACTTTCTACCCTCTTCGTCTGCCACCACCCACTAGTCTGTGAGTTCCTGAAACGACAGAAACTGTGACTACTTTATCTGGGTTCCTCCAGTACTTAGTCCACAACTTGACAATTAATATTTGCTAAGCGATTTAACTGGTGAGTGAAAGAAGATTAGGCAACTCCCATGACTACTTGTCCTGGGACCTCTGCTGACTACTCCCAGGAGGTTATTCCTTTTTGAAAGTGGGATATAAGTCAGGCAAACAGAATTATTCATTAAATTATTATTGCTATTTGTTTCTATTACTATTCTAGGTGCTGAGACCACCATAGTGTCAAAAAACAAAATTACAACAAATTTAGTGTAAAGATCTAATTGGCTTTTATTAATAATTCTAGAATCAGGCACCATCTCATCTTATAAAATAAAGTGGATTTTCCGATGAGCTAAGCAGAGGAGGCTGGCTTTATAGGCAGAAAAGGGCTGAAGAAAACAGAAACAGGGAACAAAAAGCAGATGGTTAGTTTCAAGGTTAGTACCCTGATAGTGTTAAAACAGAAGGGACTTCCTGGTCATACCCTCTCAAGGTAAGCTGGTCCTCTTTTGATTAGTTGCTGTGAATCTCATTCTGTCTGTATTTTTTTTATTAGAAAGCTGGCCTATTTCAGAGTTCAGTTTGATTATGTGGCATTTAACATGAATGACTCCATTCTGGTCTGCTGGGCCTAGTGCAGAAGCCCAGTCCAAAACAATGGTCTCCCATAAATTTCATTTAACAATAGTAAACAAGATAAAGTATTCTGCCTCCCTGGTGGTTACAGTCCATAAATAGGTGGGAAGATAATCAAAATAGTGTTAAGTTCTAGAACAAAAGTAGAACAAAATTAAGGGTAGGGAGTGATGGGGACAAGGAACTAATTTAGACTGGGTGGTCAGGGAAGACCTCTGAGGAGGTAACCTTTAGGCTGAGACCTTAATAACAAGAAGGATAAAATCTTATGAAAATCAGGAGCAGAGAAACTTGAAAGACACTGGGTGGGCATGAGTCTGCATTTTCACAAGAAGAGGGTCAGTGTGCCCAGGGCCCAATTTCACCAAATGAGGTCAGAAGGGGTCATGACCAGCCCTGGTAAGAAAAGACCACGGTAAGCTGTCTTGATTTTGTTCTGCCCACAACAGGAAGCCACAAAAGGGTTTTTACAAAAGGGAGTGAGATGATCTGACTTAATATTTGGAGATTACTCTGGTCTCTGTGCAGAATAGGAATTGTACCAAGTTCTCACAGTAGTTCCGTGAGACGATTGCAACTTGGAGCTAGAGACAAAGAAAAGAGGATGAATTGAGGCTGTCTTGGGGAAGATGACAGGACTCACTGATGGAGTATATGAAGGGAGCAGCACGGGACAAGAGGAATCAAGACTGATTCCTGTGTGAGACTGGAGCCACAGTGTAGTAGATGGTGGTGTCATTTCCAAAGTTGATAGAGAGACTAGAGGAGAAATGAGTTTGAGGGACAGAGGTGGAAGGAACCCAAAGTTCTGTTTGGGGCATGTGAGGTAGAGATGCTATTAGACATTTAATAAAGAGGCAGCCAGCTACCTCTACAAGCCTGAAGCTCAGTGGACAGATCAGGATTGGAACTGTAAACCTGCCAATCATCAGCAAGGAATGACTTTAAACAGGGAGTAGAACAGATAAGCTGGGCCACGCGAATATTGAAAGAGGATGGAGGGAGGAAAAGAAAGAGAAATGGAGGGGAGAGAAGGGGAAAAGAATAAGGTCCCAAATCAATCTTTGCCATCCTCAAAGAGAGGAGATGGAGGAACAGCAACTGACTGGGGAAGGAAATCCACCTAGGAGAGGGTGTGCTATAGAAGCTGAGAGAAGAAAGTGAGAGGTTGAAGAAAGTGCTAAAGGATAGAGTCAGATAAGCAACAAGTGACCAGATTTGGTGAAAGAAGTCATTAATCACATTGATTAGAACCATTTTGGGGAATGATGAGTTCAAAAGCTCAATGACAGTGAGTGAGAGAATGAGAACTGAGAAAGTGGAGACAGTGCCTCTAAACAGCACTTTAAAGACATGTTGTGTGGAAAAACAAGATTGTAACAGGAGGGAGAAAACTCAGGGAAGAGTTTTTTTTGGCTTTGGTTCACTTGGTTTTTAAGATGCAAGATTCCAGCACCTTTGTATGTCTTTAGAGTTAGAGAGAGAGGGGGGCTGGTTGCAGAGCCAGCCTGAAAAGGTCCTGTGAAGGTGAGAGGGACTGGGTCCAGGAACTAGTGGATGGTAAGGTTGGCCTGAGAGAGCAGCCAGATCCCCCACTGAGGCCTAGGAAAGAGTATGTGGGCAGAGACAGCTGCAGGGTACAGTTGATGAGGGGAAGGTCTAGTCTGCAGCTTGAAGCTTCTTAGTGAAGTTTGAGAGGAAGACATCAGCTACACTATGAGGGAGGGGGAGCAGGTGTTGGAGCTTTGAAGGGAGAGCAGCTATAAAATGCTTCCTTGTAAGATGGGACAGGGAATAACCCAGGGACTGGGAGAACCTATCAATATTTGTGACCCTGAATTAAAGGAAGACTAGTTTTTCCCTTTGCAGAGTAGGTGGATGATATCGTGTTGACCAAGATGGCTCGAGAATGTACCATTCTGGCATCTGAGGGAACAGATCTGGCATGAGGCAGTATTGTGAAGTAGCCATCTCTCCCAGCATGCTTTCCTCACCACTTCTTCCTTCACAGGATCCGGTTTTGTTCAGGTGTTCACACTACTCATGAGATTCACAGGAATGGGAAACCCAACTCATCCCCAGCTCCAGAAGTGGATGCTGATATTCTAAAACAATCACCAGATGCCATTCCTTTGCTGCTGATGATTGATTTGTCCAGGGGCGGGCATGAGACCCAACTTGAACTGGTCAGACAGAAGGGAAGGACTTAATTCCAGATGGACACCTGTTCTCTCTCCTACCAGTGAGGAAAAGGAAACGAGACATCCAGCTTTTGGCACCAGTCATAAGAGGAAGCTGATGCTGTGGATGAAGAGTGGAGCAATGGAAATAATCTGGGATCCAGTGACATTGATAAACTGCGGATTCAACTAGCCTTTCTTTCTTTCTTTTTTTCTTTCTTTCTTTTCTTTTTTCTTTCTTTCTTTCTTTTCTTTTTTTTTTTTTTTTAAAGAGACAGGGTCTTGCTCTGTCACCTGGACTGGAGTGCAGTGGTGAGATTATAGCTCACTGCAGCCTCCCACTTCTGGGCTCAAATCATCTTTCCTCCCCAGCTTCCCAAGTAGCTAGGACTATAGGTTCATGCCACCACACCTGGCTAATTTTTAAATTTTTTTTGTAGAGACTGGGTCTTGCTATGTTGCCAAGTTTGGTCTAGAACTCTTAGCCTCAAGTGATGCACCTTCCTCTTCCTCCCAAAGCACAGGGATTACAAAGGCATGAGGCATGAAGACTGCTTTATCTCTGAATAAATCTCCTTTAAAAAAAAAAAACAAACCAGCTTTTGTGAGGATTTCTGTTACTTGCAGCAAAAGGGTCCTGATGGACACAATTGTTTTTGCAATGTAGGAGAAATCCTCAAAACTGGCTTTTCCCATGCTTGCCTTCCTCTCAGTTACATGCTCTGCCTAAAGCAAAGTGACTGCTTCCTCAGAAGTCAGGCTTTAAGGTCCCTGGGGCACTTCTGCTTCCACAATTTAGGTTTACCAAGGGGCCGATGTGTTTGTCCACAAGCTGGTTTTGCCAGTTGCACTTGTTTTTGTAATTATGTAAAGCAATGAAATATGAGTGAGGGAAAGAACTACTGTTGTCCAAAATCCAAACTGAATGCTTTCCATAAACAGTAAAGGCAAGCTGCTTAGAAAACAAAGTAAATACAAAACAATCTTGGAGTTTCATGCAGGTGAGGCAAGTGTACAATAATTGGAAAATTTTATTAAATCTAGAATAATTCTGAACTCAGATTGTTCCCCAATTGTCCTTCAGTTCCGGCTCTACTTTAAAGCTGTTGGGACTGAAAACCACCGACTTTTTAAATGACCACACAAGAATCCTATTAGATGTCACATATCTTAAAAGAGGCCTTGTCCCTTCAAAATACTGTCAAATGAAAGAATATTTGTATGTTTTACTTTAGTAAAATATTCAAAATGTTTTCCATTTTCAGTGTTTCTTTGCTCTAACTGACTAGCTGTTTTAACTGATTACCCAATTAGCTACCAGTCTGGTGGCGTCTGAGTAAACGTACCCCTGTTCCTCTTTAGCCCCCTCGCCCACCTGGTCAACCTAGGGCCCTCAGTCTCTTTCCTTTCTCCATCTTGTCAGCACAGAACCGCACAGCATCAATAACAACTGGTTTTTACAAAATTATAATTTCAATATCAAGAGTATTTTTCTTTGTCTTTTCTTTTTTTTTTGTATTTCTGAGAGGGGGTCTTGTCTGTCACCAGGTGGAGTGCAGTGGTGCGATCCGTCATGCAAGCTCCGCGCTCCTGCAGCCATTCTCTTCAGACCTCCAGATCTACTGCAGTGCCACACGACGCCCGGCTACTTTTTTTTTTTTTTTTGCATTTTATAGTGGAGACGGGGTTTCACCGTTTACCAGGATGGCCTCAATGTCGCCGATCTGATTCACCTCCTGCCGTCCCAAATGGGATCACAGCGTGAGTCAACGCACCTGGCAGTGATTTCATTTAATAAGAGTTGTCTGGAATCTACACAAATATACTATGAAAAACCTATTCCAGTATGAGATAATGAATGAGCATACTAGTATTGACTTGCAACAAAATAAAAATAATTTAACCCCAAAAAACAGGAAGAATATTTGTGTCTTTTATAGAATCCTCTTTTTTTTTTTTTTCAAAAACAGTTCTTATTCATCCTCGTCCTCCTCCCCCCGCTTCCCTCTTTTTTCCTCCCCTCTTCTTCTCTTCCTCTTCACCTTTTTGCGGCACTTAGACCACTTTGAAGCCATCAAGAGCTTTCCTTTGTCTGGATTATAGTCGCACATGTCCTTGCTCAGGGTACTTCTCCTTCAGCTTTGCTGCCTTAGTGAGTGTAAGGTGCTTTTCACTGTCATTTAAATTAATTCACATCTCACCCAGCCTTTTTTGTCACATCGTCCAATAGAACGATGCCGGGGTTTGTGGATTGTGGATTCTTGGGACGAATTCTGAACAGAACAGGAAGATCCAGACGGATTGGGCGCTTATTGGTGAGCATTAGGATCCTTACTTTTCTTGCCTCCCTTAGCTGGTCATTAATCTTCATTCCCCGTCATAGCGCGACTTTATCTGCCTTTGCCGGATTTCATCAGAAATTTAGATTTCTTTCTTTCCCGGACATCGTCTTCACTCTCAGAAGCCTTCTTGGAAATTCCCTGCAAAATTGACAGGGACCTGTCTGGGTTTTTCTTCTTATCGTTCTTCTCTGCACGTCTGCACAAGAACGGCATAAGAGACATCTGTGCCACTTTGGTTTTCCTTCGGGTCACCTTTAGGCCATGTCCGAACTGTATTGTTCGCTAGTTCTGGGCAGCGCAGGCCGACGCGCGCTCAGCGCTCCCCAGGCTTGCGCCTAGCTGCCTCCACGAGAGCCCTTTTTTTTTTTTTGAGAGGGAGTCTCGCCTGTCACTCCAGGCTGGAGTGCAGTGGCGCGATTCAGCTCACTGCAAGCTCCGGCCTCCCAGGGTTCACGCATTGTCTCCTGCCTCAGTCCTCCGAGTAGCTGGGGGATACAGGCGCCCTGACCACCTCCGCCCGGGCTAGTTTTTGGTATTTTTTTATTCAGTAGAGACGGGTTTCTCACTGTGTTAGCCAGGATGGTCTCGATCTCCTGACCTCGGTTGGATTTCCGCCGTCTCGGCCTTCCCAAAGTGCTGGGATTACAGGCTTGGAGCCACCGCGCGCCGGCCCTGGGGAATTTACTTTTTTACAAAGAACTTTTTAGGTCCATTGTATCAATGGTACTTCATAACTACCCTACAAAGAAAACATTTATTCCTGCTTCCCGATGAGGAAACCAAAATGGGAGAAGGGGAAACCATGTGGCCTCAGAGGACAAAGCTAGTAAGAAATAGAGCCTGTTTAGATGCCCAGGTCCCTGATGTCTGCTTCAAGTGGTTTTTTGCTTTCCTCTAAATCACTAAAGATTTAATGAAAACAGATTGATCATAGCTAAATATGCTACCTCTGTCAGAATGAAGAGAATTTAGCAATATAAAAAAATAGAGTTTTAAGCGATGAATGTGCAAGTCCAGAAGAAAACTGGGAGAGGAGGAAGGCTTTCACAGCACCACTGGGCACTTCCATACAAGGCCAGTGTCATGTAGGATATGGTGGCTTCCTTTCTTGATCAACCACCCACCAAGACTTCAAATCAGCTCTATTGGTCTGTACTGGGAAATGTGGGCCCACTGTTTAATCTCTTTGGGCTCCATCATTGTGTTCTATTAAACAGGAGTGATGATACCTACTCACAAGACTGTTGTCAGAATTTGAAATAATGTTGTATATAAAGCCCTTAACACAGCAGCTGATGGGTTTTTCTTTTTTTTTTCTAGTATTGGCATCATAATGGCACTGTTAATCAGTTTTAGATATAATCACAGCCACACAACTTTAACAGCGAAGTGTGGGAAACGGAAGAGCAGATCCAGCCCTGTTACTGTGTCTAATTAGAAGAAGTAGACCATAGAACCCATCTTTGTTCCTGGTATTGATGCTGTTTAATCTGTGGACCCCTACGAAACTTAGTCCTTGCCAACGAACACTTGTTGCGGTGACTCAAGGTTTAATGGATTCTTTGGGCTGTGCCAGATATTCTTTGTTAAACAATGCCTGAAGTGCTTTGCCTGGTTAAATTTATCAACCACCCTAATTTAACTAACCCCAGGACACGTACAACGGCCCCAAGTCGCAGGGGACTCTGCCTAGGAAAGCCTATATATGTCCAAGGTTTATCCCCATGTGATGGAAGAAACAAATGTTGCTAAAAAGTTTATCTCAAGGCACAGGATTTTCCTTGAACCTTATTCATATCAACAGAGGTTTATTGTCCTTTATTCTTACTGCTAATTTCTCCTTACCAAAAGTGATCCTATGTCCCTGCACTCCCCTGTCTTTAAGATGGTAAAGATAATTATCAATAAAAACTAAGGGAATCAGAGACCTGGTGCCGGCGTGGGCGGTCACTCTGTAACCCTGAAAGCGCCGGTTCCCCTGGCCCCGCTTTTTCTTTCTCTATACTTTGTCTCTGTGTCTTATTTCTTTTCTCAAGTCTCTCGTTCCACCTTACGAGAAACACCCACAGGTGTGGAGGGGCAGGCCACCCCTTCAGGAAGTAAAGGACTTGCTGAGTGCCACCAGGTTGATGGGCACTAATGCTGGAAGATCATGTATCAGAACAACACACTCTCTAAGGATTCATCAAAACTCTTAGAAGGACCTGGTGATGACATTGGGTCCATCTGGACAATCCAAGATAACCTTCCCATCTCGAGGTCTTTAATAAAGACCCATTTGCCATATAAGGCAATAGTCATAGGTTCCAGGGATTAGGACTTAGACATATTTGTATTTGGGAAGCCTACCACAAAACACACTCTGAATTTTTTAAATGAAATATAAGGATTTAATTAAATTTTACAGAACTATTTATAAAAACAACATACCTTTAATCACTAGCAGAAGAGCAAGAGAAAGAGCTGACTACAGATTCAGAACAGAATGGCATCTTCAAAACACACAGAATGATTTGAGATCAATTGACTGCGTTTCAGTTTCTTTTTCTTTTCTTTTTTCTTTTGAGACAGAGTTTCACTCTTGTTGTCCAGGCCGCAGTGCAATGGCACAATCTCAGCTCACCACAACCTCCGCCCCTGGGTTCAAGTGATTCTCCTGCTTCAGCCTCCGAAGAAGCTAGGATTACCGGCATGCACCACCACGCCCGGCTAATTTTTGTATTTTAGTAGAAACAGGGTTTCACCATGTTGGCCAGGCTGGTCTTGAACTCCTTACCTCAGGTGATCCACCTGCCTCGGCCTCCCAAAGTGCTGGGGTTACAGGCATGAGCCACTGCACCTA